TACTTTATCACCATCTTCTGTATCAAAATGATAACCTGCAAAAAGAAAGAAAGAGCTTCCAGCTAATAATTTGGTCTCAATCTTTGTAGAGCTTGCAGTTTGACTTCAGCACTAGTTCATATTGGCAAACCTTTGCTTTCTGCAGATGGAATCTTTTGAACATTAGAGTCATCTTGATCAATAGTCGTTGCTGATATATCAAGGACCGCAAGATCACCAATCTGAGAACATTTCAACCCTTTTCAAGTCATAAAACTCCTATAATGAGTAGAAAAGACTCAAAAAAACCATCTCAGTATAACCTAAAGTAAGCTGGAGTTGAAGATTAAAGAGAGTACATTGATTACAAGGAAGTTTAATTAAAAAGGTGAAATCTGTTAAGAAAGGAAGGAGAGTTTCTTAAACATGAATAACCTGTAGTCCTCTCTCAGCTACAATTCTCAGTGAACCTAAGGACTTGTGGCGGCGCTTTAGTTCCCGCTCACAGGCTCTTTCGGCTTTTATGTCATTGTCTATTTCAACAACAATCTTAAGATTTTTGTACCCATTCTCAGTTTTCCATTTGACTTCCGGTGCCACATCTACAATGACATCATAACTGGAAAAAAATTTTAAATCAATAACCATTCATATCCTTGCTAGTAGGGACTTATGCAAGTTTATTATATCAGTCTTTCCTCATCAAATGCCTCTCCCTCAAGTATGCCATGACAGAAGACTCAGATATGCAATGTTGCAGGTGTTACTGTACAATAAAACCAACAAAGGAGCACGCAAGTGAGATTTAAGGATGTACTATTTATTAACCTCAGAGAACTAAGAGAAGAATAGCTTTTCTCCATATCAGAAAATTTGGTTATAATGCGAACTGAATCTCTCAAAGCCCTTCCAGTTACCTATAGAATACGATGAACCAAATATCAGCAAGGTGGTTATTAACATGAAATGGCTGAAAACGAATATAATATCTTGGGAACATTAACCAGACAGGAGCAAACATTATGAAACATACTGAAGACATAGCATGAGGGAGGGTCCTTTTCAAAATAGATTCTACTGTGGCCTTCTGAACATTTTCTTCCCCAACATAATTTAGAAGAATTCTCTCTGGGATCTTTCCAGGGCGAAATCCAGGTATCTAGTCACACAAAACATTTGAAGTATCAATCAAAACTTCTCTTTCACCAAGTAAAATATGTTACAAAAGAAATGAGTTTCAGCATTCAAAATGAATTTAACAAAGCATATAGCTAGCACCAGAGCATCTCTAGCTACCAAAAAGTCATAATCCTAAGTTGGAAATTTATCATCACTATAAAACTGTGAGGTATGAAATCTTAAAGTAACATAAAGAAAGTCTTAACAAAGAAGACTTTATCATGAATCAAGGACCCTACAAAACTACAACACTGCCAAGAATTACCTTGACTTGCTTGCTGAACTCCTTTAGGACCCTTCTGTAACAATCCTCACCTACTGCAGCTGGAACTTCTACACTCAACCTTACCTACATAAAATTCAAAAAAATAAAGAAAACAAGCATTAATGTCTCAGTTCAAATAAAAAAGAAATGGCATTAAGCAAAAACTAAAACGACCCAATAAACAAAACCTACAAAAATCTTACTCTTGAATTAGGCTCTTGAGTCTCCGTGACCTTTATATCAGCAGGAAGCTTCTCCGTTTCCGCTCCGACAGCCGCTGAAGCTTTAGTAAGAGGTGAGTCTCGAGGAGACGAGACTGGCGGTTGAAGAAACTGAATTTGGCGGGAAGAAGAAGAAAGCTGTTTGAGAGGACGATTCAAGGGTCTTTTTTGGACTTTGTTACCGAATTGGATAATTGGGTTTTTGTGATAAATAGAAATGGTGCTTTGGGGAATGGAAAGATTGGTTTTGGGGTTTAAATTGAGGAGTTTTGGGGAGTTAACACAGAGCTCCATGGTTGGCTGGCTCTGTTGGAAAGCTTAAACCTTTGGCTGTTGAAGATAAAGACCCCAACTTTCAAGTGTGATATTTTCAATGTGGTAAAACGGTGCGATTCATTTTTCTTCATTTTTCCTTTTTTTTTGTATTTTCAAAATTTTTCAAAAAAATTAGAATAAAAGTTTTGATTTTGATATTTTTATTAAAATTTGAATGTTTATTATAAATATAAACATTTAATGTTTTTTAGTATGAAAAATCTTTAAATATAAGTTTATAATATAAAATTGCAAGAGTATTAAGTATTTAAAAAATTTTTATTTTGAGATATTTTTAAAAAATAAATAAAAACAGAGACAAAGAGAGTAATAATTTATTAATTTTTTATCTATTTAATTATATTTAACAATTATACTGTTAATATTATTATATTTTAGCGTTTATTTTGTTGCAATAATTAGAGGAATTTTTTCTCTAATTAAAAAAATACATGTTTATGACAACAAATGTTTAACTTTTTTTATTTGATTTAATTTTTTATTTATTTTAATTTTAACTTGATTTATTTTTTATTTATTTTAACTATATTATATTACTATATTTTATTATTTATTATTTATACAATTAAAGGAAATTTTTTTTAATTAATTTGCTTAACACCCCGCACCTTGACTTTCATTACCGCCTTAATGCCACAAGTGCACGGAAAAACAAGAAAAACGACCGACACAAAACCGACGCCGTTCCACAAGTTCAGTTCGTTCAATTCCGGTTTCTGTCCTGTCTCCCTTTCTTTAAATTACAGAACCGAACCGAACACCTCGAACCGTACCCAAACCTTCACTTTCCTACACTTGTTTCAAGCTTCAACTCTCCCTCACAGCTAGTAACCTCAGCAGTTCAGAGTTACCGCATGGACGGAGTGGGCTCCACGAGGCTGGGTCGGGCTTCGGCTCGGTACGGTTCGACGGCGGTGTTCAATGGCCCGGTGAGGAAGTGGAAGAAGAAGTGGGTCAACGTGTCGCCTTCATCTGCTGTGAAACACTCTCAATCCAACGGGAACAACAGCAACGGCAACAGTTCTTCCTCCGCCGCAGCCGGCGTCACTAGTATCGTGCTCTGCCGGTGGACTCCTCTCTCTTCAACTGATTCCGGGTCCTCCGTCGCCTCGTCCGCCGTCGACGGTGAGGACGAGGAGCAGCCTCCCAAGCGCAAGTTTCGCTATACCCCAGTAAGTGTATAAACAATCACGTATGTTTGTTACGCGTATAAAGTAGTGACGTACATGTACGTGTATAAAGGTAGTGTCACTCGTTTCTTTTGGGTGGTTTTAGTTAGGGTTTTTGCTAAAAAAGAATGGGTTTTTTCCCTTTTAATTATTATATTTTGCTTGAATAATTGGACTTTATGATTCTACGAAGTAGTGTTATGGTTGCTTATGTTAAGAGAATAGTGATGATGAAAATGGCTGTGGATTGCCATTTTTGCAGGTTGCTGTGTTAGAGGAAGAGCGTAAAAAGGCGGCTGCGAGACAGGTTGAAGATGAAGCTAAGACAGATGAGAATGAGACCAACCAGTCCCCGGATTGGCTATTATCCAAGACCGATCACGTGCTGAACATGAATAAAGATTTGAAGAAGGAATCTCAGGTAAACAATGTTAATCCTGTTTTAATTATCTTAAATTCATGTCAAAATTTGGAAATATAATTGCAATAGGACTTCGTGGAAGGGAATTCAAATAAAAAAGGATAGTTTAAAATGGTCAGTCTAGGTTTGTTGAAGAACATTGTTAAACTGTTAGAAACTTCAGTGTTTAGTGCCTTCCACCTCCGCCGGTTGGTATGGTTTAAGAATAGGTTGGGTTGGATTTTGGATGATGTTTACTTGTTTATAAGCTTGCTCCTCAAACTCGTGTGCGAGGTACTTGTGTTTTATTTCAGGTTGATAAGGTTGAAATTCTGAATGTAAAGCATGAAATGGTTAAGATCTAGCAGGATACAAGCCTTTTCAAGTAGTAATGCTTTTTATTCATTGCAACCAGACAATTTTAGTTTTTGTTCATTGCAACCAGACCATTATAGTAGCTTCATTCCGTTTATGTGGTTGTAATACTAAGTTCTAGTGCTGTTCCATCCTATATAGAGCTGACTCACATCCTTATAGTGCCATTAATATGAGCCTGCTTTGGTCCTATACTGTATTAATGTATTAAAAGTGTTGGGACCGAACAGGTTTACTAGGGTAAACCATAAATTTTTGGTACAAGGATCAAGTTGACATCCCTAGTGTTAAATCTCTTTAACTTGCATTGTTTTTCAAAAAATATGGATGACATCTTCCTCAAAAGTTGAAGATGAAAACATTTGATTTCCTCGCAAGACTTAATAAAGCAGAGATCTTCCTCTTTTGCAGGATTCAAGCATGGGCAATTTGGACTTGGGTTTGTGTTTGAAAGGCCATGATAACAGCCGTGTTTCTGTTGGTGAGAAGGAAGGCCAGGAGAAGGCGGCAAGCTCAGCTGGATTTTGGACAATGGGTTGACATGTAATTAGTTCGAAGGCAAACAAGATTTCACAGATTTGGTCCCTCCAAAGCAATGCATCTTATGTATTATATCCCTATATATTCTTGGTCATGGAATTGGTTCATGATGTATAGTTTGACCACTAAGCCTTGGTGGTAGTCTGCGCCTTATCAAAAGCTTGACCTTATACTGCCTATATTTCCTTGTTCCTTTATCATTTGCAGGTATTATACATAGAACCCTTAGATTGATATATCTCTTTTCATAGTGTGGATTATACTTTAAGAAGGCAGGGTGATCAATGAGAACTACTTTGTTTGCTCTGTTTGCACAGTAGCATTATATCATACCCTTTGGGTTGAACACGATTATCATAACTGGTTTCCATGGACAAGGCGAGATCAACATTTACCAAACATGGTTGAAAAGTTAGGGGAAATGATTTGCTTACTCTTCCGAGTACATGAGTTACCATCCATCCTCAAATAGCATTGAGGGAACACCTCCAAAACGATTGGGTAGGATTTACCTGATGACCTCATCACTGAAAATTAGGGCAGTCGCAACGCCAGCTCTCTAGATTGATTGGTTAGCCAGATTTCATGTATAAGAACTCAGGATTGACCATTGACATAGCAACACTACACATACTATGTCACAACTACAACCATAAATAACTTAGCCTGCATGTGCGAGAGAGATAAAATCCTGCCACAACTCAACATGATGCATTCCAATTTCTGTATACTCATCCGAAGACCGTGCCAAAAGCCATCTAGAGGGCATTTTGTTATGAAAAATAGTGAAACAAGAAATAGGTGGAACAAAAAAAGTTTTAAAAGACTACTCTTCACATGAAAATCTCACATGTATATAATTCTTATCAAACAGGCAAAAGTTTTGAACATTTTGCCACGGCAAATCTACCTAGCCTATATCATCAAGCCTCGGAGCCTTTGTCACTTGTGTTATTCTCTGCTGCATCGTTACCCAGTGCCTGAGTAACACCGACCTCAGCTGGTCTAATAACTCGATCATAGAGCATGTATCCTGCCTGTATAAAGAAGAGGAACAAACAATTTCTTAGGAACATACTAAACTATGACCACTTGAGCTGTCTGAGCAGCACTTCGTTACCAAGACTCTTTGTACTTCAATAAGGACGAGGAAAATTGAACTGGTAATTGAACTTAAATCATGTGCTTGGTTACCAATATTTCTTCAACAAAACTTGAATAAACTTTCAGACAATCAAAAAATGGAACAGTTTCAATAAAAAATGGATTACAAAATAATACCTTCAAAACATGAGCAACTGTGCCAGGAGGCTTAGAATTATCTGGTACTTGGAATACTGCATTGTGCCTGTGTGGATCAAATGGTTCATTTGTAGGATCAAATTTTTCCACTCCAAACTTTCTAAATACCTGAAGTAAAAACAGTTATAACTGGTCAGTAGCAAAATTTGATATGTTATAGAACAGACGTAGAGGCCAAATGTTGCCGGAGTGACGGAAGAGACTACTAACTTCCAAAATTAACTAAGCACATGACTTTTTAAAACATTTTTCCGGATGAAGGGCAATAATTGAAGTGAATTAGTTTTGCCAATTTTACCCCTTTATCAAAGAACCAATGGTGGAAATCAAACCTACAGCATCAAGTATATCAACTCCAACAACTCAGTTTCATGAAAACTCCCAATACCATAGGAAGCAGAGAAACTAACAACAGACTTCCATTAAAGTAATGAAAAATTTACCTCTCCAAGTTGTTTCTCAGTCATTTCAACTCCTTCTAGGAGTGTCTTTAGGAGTGGCACAGCTCCAACAGTGTCTTTGGATTTGTCAAACTTAGAGAAACTGCCTTTAACATGCGAAGAAGCCCTTCCTAAATTGTCTGCCACATCTAGAAGGCCCTTTGCAAAATTCTGCAGCGCATTGACAAATAATTAGTATCACTTTCCAAGATTCCAAATACAACAAAAATCAAGTTGTCATTGTGTCATCAACAATACCTGTATGGCAAATTTTTTTGAGTTCTCTGCTTCACGTCTTGTTCTGGCCATAACATTCTCCATTTCCGCAAGAGTGCGAACAACTTTGTCCTGCATTTGTTCAATCTCCTTTTGCTTTGCCTTCAAGAGTTCTTCTTTCTCCTCCACAAGTTTTACCATGTCGGCCATTGACAGATCACCATCACTCTCAGAATCTGAATCAGAAAATGCAGTTCGTTTAGCAGCTCTTCTCCTTCTTTTATTAGATTGAGGCATTGTATTTTGGGATTCTGAGTTAAAACCTGATTCTTTTGCTTGATCAGCAACTTCAGCCTCTCCAGGATTCATATCCCCACTTGGTTTTGCAGGCTCTTGACCATTATTTTCTACAGCACTCCCATGTTCCTTCTCTGAGGGCTCAGGGGAGGCAGACGAAGAGATCCCGAATCGTTGGAATGCAGAGAAATTGTGGCTTGAATGATGCAACAGAGACACATCACTTGTAACCAACTGCACAGAGCAAGCTAATGCAACTTAAAATATTGCACCCAACCTCAAAGAATATGCACTAAAATGAAATTTTTGATCAAAATACAGGGAATTGGTTATGCTTTGAAGAAACCAAAACATAGGCTTAAGATCCTATATCATCACTCAATAACTGAAATAAAAGAGAAAGCACAAAACCCAACAAGACCCTCATCAAAATGAACATGGAAAAATGAGGTTACAGCTTCTAAATCTTTAATGTAACATCTAGAGACTAGAAAAGGAACCTACTTCCAACCAAATCTAAGCCCTTTCACTTTCAAACAAAGCCCCAAGGATTTCAGCACGATAAAACCAAAAATATACAATAAAAATTATAATCAAGAGAACCTCAGATGGCGGAGGTCATCAAATTGAGCTAATTTAAGCAAAGCCCTTAAACCCTAGCAAAACCCTACTCATAATCAACCGCAAAAAAATCAAGCATTTATTCATTTATTTACTTATTCATTGCAATTTTCAGTACCTTATTCGGAGATTCATAAACAAGAGAATGAAACTGATTGGAAAGGCTTGGCTTTTGAAGCTTGTTCGGAGCAGAGACAAGCAAGGAGCGTGCAGCCACGCTCCTCGAGACGCGTGACAAAGCCCTGGACATCAACATCTCTTGGAGGAAGAAAGGTTTAGGGTTTTAGAGGGACGAAATTGGAAATAAAAAGAGTTAATGGGGGGGATATCTAGCGAGAAAGAAATAGGAAAGCGGGGAGAAAATTTAGAGGGAAAGGACCTGCTTGGACAGAAAGAAAGTTGATTTTATTTCATTTGTTGACTAAACTATCCTGTACTAGTATCATATAAAACGACTTCGTTTCGAAAGGTGGAACGGTAAATTTAGACATTCCATGAGACTGCTTTCGTCTTGTTGATTGAAGTCCTGGCTTTGATTTTTAAGAAGCATCGAGAAGGTTTCTGGTCCGGCGGCGTTTAAATCTGTGGTCGGGTAGGTGCTAGGCCAAAACGACAGCGTTTTAACAAATGGGCTTGGACACTTTTCATGAACTATTGGGTTGGATTTTGAAATCCGAACTTAACTTATTATAAAAGATTTCAATTTAAAAAATAAGTTCGATTGGACGAGATTTAAAATTAGTTTTATGCACTATGTTTTCAAAATGCACTTATTTCTTTGAAGATACATATTATAAGTGGATCCCACCTAAATAACATCGTAATTATATAAAAAGATTATTTTATGATAAATTGAATTTATAACTTTTCGAATATCATTTCAAACAAAAAAAAATCGTGACTTCAAGTCTAAATTCTATTTATATCTTCTTTTTTTATTAATTTAGTTGAGATTGAGCAATGACGAGTATAGTTAATCTCAAATTAAGCTAATATAATTCATAAGCACTTTTATACAGTGAAAGATATATTTTTATTTAATTTAAATGTTTAGTTTAAGATATAACGTTTACTGAATTTTTCGTTATATCTTAATTTACACATCCGAACATTTGACTTGATGATAGTTGCATGTATCTTCGTACTCAGAATGCTGATTTCGGGTTTTTTTTCCAAAATTTATAAACAAAAAAGGAAAAAAAATTAACTGTTTTGCTTGTTCTGGAGGTTAATGTAAATAATATTCATAAATTGCAGCATGTATGCTTAGACTACACTACAAAAATGGTGATTAGCAGAAACAAATGATTATCTGTTTTGCAAAGAGGAAAGTCTAATATGTATCAAATGATTCAAAGATATACAAAAGGATGAAGCTATATCTGCCAAAATCATAGTGATTGCCTGCAATTTTTGGTTACTGTCAATCATTCTTTGGCCATTGCTACTACCTCTCCCTCAGAAAAGTAATCCTTCCTGTGCAAAATCAACAGGTGGTGATAATCATGAAGAACCCAAATTTTTTTCTTTTCTTGCATGAAGAAGGTGAAAGATGCTAGGATATGGAGATTACTTGATCTTGCGTGAGAGTTGATACAAGCCAGTTCCAGCCAATGCAATATTGACAGAGAAAAGGTTCCAGTTTTTCTGCAAATTTGCAGGCATTTTCCAAGGTTAAACAGGGCTAGAAGTAAACCTTACTGAGATGATAAATCAGGTCCAGCATTGAATTATAGTAAATGAAATGCTTCCTATGTTTTTATCTTGAAAATGGTCAGTGATGATCTGTTTTTCCATTTGCAACACTGATCTCCTTCTGTGCCTCGGGGTCCATAGCTTCACATAGTGATGAAACCAAAGGCTATATATCATCCTGTTAGTGCATTTAAGCTAACATGGTGTGAAAGCAACGAGTAAAGCTTGCATTGATCTGTTTGTTGCATGTATTAGCTCTAGAATTACTTCGGTTATCTGAGTAGCAGATACAATCAAACAAACTATTAACAGATTTAGTGAGCCATTTGCAGTTTTTCAATGTCTGAACTAGTTCATACTTGACATGCATGGCTTAATCTTAAATGCATTTGCAGTTTTTCAATGTCCGAACTAGTTCATACTTAGACATGCATGGCTTAATCTTAAATGCACTAACACATCCAACAGATATATGCTAGTAGGAAAAAGAGAATGGCAATCATAGTCTTTAGCTACATGTCTATTAACTGCAGTGAAAATACCCTGAGATCCTTTCTGATATGGATTTGTGGAACATGAGATGAAGTTGACAGTACATGGTAAGTTTAATCTCTCATGTCAATATGTCAACTTAGTTTAGTGAATCTTGCAAATCAAATTGTCAACATCAAGAACATGGGAAAGAGGGGGTAGGTTGAGGGGGTGGAATCTGCTGTTCATTTGAAAATCAAGTTTCTTCTTGTAAAAAGAAATGCATTTGCAGCTGGTATGACATACCGGGTTAATCACTGTGCTATACCGTGACCACACTAGGCCGGTGCAGGTAGCAGCTGCAGTATAAGGATCAAAAGGTAAAGATTATGCCTTGTAACAGATAAATTGGCAGTTCTAAAGTTGATAAGTGAAACCTGGTTAGGGGCATACCTATTTGCTGGGGATAAGAGATATTCTCTGGTGGCTTTGAGAAGTCAGCAACATTGGCTATGCTGACGCACCATTTAAAAGTTGGGGCCCAAAAATGAACTGCAATGGGTGTTATATGCTCTTTAAATTGAATGATAACAGGATCTTGAATCTGAGAAAATGGTGCTGAATTTTAAGGTATAAATCATCGAAACACCTTAACCAAGACAGATACCAGAAAGCATCCAGGACTTGCAACAATGCAGTATTACATGACACTGATTTTGTATGCCAACTGCTAACCTGATTAATGCTACTGGCTTCAGTTAGCCTTGGAACTGCAACAAAAAGCCGATAGCAAGTCTTATAGCCAACTAAATCAGATGCATGTAGTTAGTCGAATTTGTTTCAGGCTGATGTATGTTAGTCTTATAACTTTTGTGTTCACCAACAGCAATCAAGATTGCCAGAATTTTAAGGTACCAATCACCCTAACACCTAACCAAGACAGGAACAGAAAGCATCCAAGACTTGCAACAATGCAGTATTACATGACACTTGTTTTGTATGCCAGCTGCTAACCTGATTAATGCTACTGGCCTCAGTTAGGCTTGGAACTGCAAAAAAAACCTGGTAGCTAAAAGAACAAAAACTAACAAGACTTATAGCCAACTAAATCAGATGCATATACCTAGACGAATTCGTTTCAGGCTGATGCATGTTAGTATTATAATTTTCTGTGTTCACCAACAGCGATAAAGATTGCCAGGATGGAGGTGGATAAAGAATTGGTAATAACAAAGACAGTGAAGTTGATGAATTACATTCAATCCACAATGATGATAATCATTTTCAATACCTTGATGCATAGGTAACAAAATTAGCCGATAAATAACAGTATATTTCACAATCTGATGCAATGATCTGAAATCAAATTCTATACCCTAATATTCCAATTTCCATTCTGCTGCTAGAGGAATAAAAACAAGCAAAAGCAAGCCACCATAAGATATCTTAAAAAGAACAGTCATGTACAAATGCTTGAAGACTCAAATCTGATTGAAAGTTCACAGGCTTAGACAAACACAAGAAGAATGGATAAAAGAAGTCTGATCCAATCAAAAAGAAAACAGAAAAGGGAAACAGCACAAACTGGTTTTGGGACCAGCAGGGTGGTTCCAGAATGCTTGGAGCTTTGATGATGCCATAGAGATTCTGCCTCGATGAGCTCTTTGTGACAGAAACAAGAAGATACACAAGTTCAGAACAGAATAACAGAATCCTCGGAGTGGTACCTGGGACCCAGGAAACTGACACAAATGTCTGCCAAAGCTTGGACCATGTAGTTCATTCTAGAGTCTAGACCATCATGGAATAAGGCGACAATTGATTTCATGCATAATCAATGTTTCCCCATGCTGTCGATGACAAACCCGTTGGGGGCAGAAAACCTGAACTGGAACCCATATCCATTCCATTTCTAGGACCATTAGTCCACTAGGCTAGCCCAGAGACACGGCTCAGGAATCCAATTTAAGGTGGTCCTAGACTCTTCTATGGTGACAACCTTGTTGTGAGCAATGTTTGGGGTTAAGTTCCAATTGCTTTAATGCCACTGCCACCGCCATGATCGGCATTTAAAGAATTTGAGGGTCCATTTATGAGATTGCGATATTTTTCTTTAACTGTGACTATAGATGCAGTTGAAGGTACGGCCATTACCATTTATTACGCTTGAACGAACTTTTAAATATTGATTTAAAATTAAATAAATTTTTAATTTTAACAAAAATTTAATTATCATTAAATATAATGTTAATTGCTCTTTTTCATCCACGTGACATGTGATCTAATAAATTGACATGATAAAAAAAATTTAATGTAATTTGATTATGTCAAGATTTCATAAATTCGATAAGTCATAAATGATATAAAAAAAATCCTTTGATTTTGAATTTAACAATAATTAAGTTTCCCTTAAAGTAAGGACCTGCAGGATTGAAAAAGACAATAAAAATCAGAACTGAAAGGTGTGTACATGTTGAACTGGTGAGTCACATTTGACTCGTGACACAAGATTTTGCCCCATGCTAACTTTCTTAGCATGGAAACCAATGCTAGGCTACACACAAAGAAGAAAAAAAGGAAGTTTGGATGGCTCCTTCCAGGCGTTACAACTGCATGGATTCTCTCCCTAAAAAGGCCAAAAGCAATTCGGCTCCTTCAAAGTTTTTGATCACCACCGTCCACATCACAGTGGCTTCAAACAGTGGGCTCAACTGCTGGATTTGGATGGTCCTGGTGAAAGTTTCTGGCCTTGTTTTTCCTTAACTTTTTGTCTTCTTTTTGTCTGGATTAGCTTCAACCAATGGGTTATTGCAAGGGGAAATGGGTTTGGTTTTATCAACCCTGCTTCATTCAATTGACATAGCAAAAGATTGTTACAGAAGAAATTTCAAGAAAATTTTCCAGGAACCCATAGCTTTACCTGCATTGGGTTTCCTGTGTTTTAATGGCAAAAACTGTCTCCTAACCAGACAGCCAAAAAATTAAATGTGAAAAAGGGTTTTGCAAGGTTTCAATGCATGGCCATTTTAAACCAAGCAATTGCACCTAGACATCATAAAGAACAAACAGATGATTTCCCTTGTTATCAATTACCAACTGTAAAGAAAAGGTCATTGCTTCTTCAAGAAATATTTTATTCTCTCCCATCATTATTATGGATATAACTAACATAACAAAATGGGGCTTGATCCTAGCCAATGACAGACCATGGCCAAAACATTGTTGAGTATCATGACCATCGGCTTAAATACAATGCTCATCTCACCAACTTGGAGAGCAATTAAGTCTCAACAAACTCCATCTGTCTCATTGCCTACTAACTTTTTTTATCTCTCATTCCTCACTCCATCAGGAATCATTCACACCAGCTTTACCAACCACCTCAATGCTATTTATAACACAAAACCAGAGAACTTGGAATGAAAAAAACTTAAATATGGCATGTAAGGTTGTCAGGTTGTTCCTCTTGATCAATCTCCTGCTGCAAATACCAAAAACAAGTGCAGTAGTCCCTGCGATCATAGTGTTTGGGGATTCCACAGTGGATCCAGGGAACAACAACCAGATATCTACGGTCCTGAAGAGCAACTTCGCGCCATATGGCCGGGATTTTCTTGGTGGCAAGCCAACAGGACGTTTTTCCAATGGCAGGATTGCGACAGACTTCATTTCTGAAGCCTTTGGGATCAAGCCAGACATACCTGCCTATCTGGATCCCAAGTATGACATAAAAGATTTCGCTACTGGGGTTTCCTTTGCTTCAGCCGGAACTGGTTATGACAATGCTACTTCTGATGTGCTAGTAAGTCTAGCTATGGCTTGGTGATAGTTACCGTCTTCAGGCAGTGAGTTTGTACATTAACTTGCATCAGGTTTCCCTTGAATTTTGTTGAATTCTCAAGTTGATCTGTTGCCATTGTTTTGCCGTTTACATGAAAAGATAAAAGATTTAAGTTTCTACAAGTTCTTTGCATTTACATTCTGTAAGTCTTAGTTCTAACTACCTCGAGTAAGTTATCAGTTACTAGCTCTTTTCTCCATTTTCCTTGAACTTGCAGTCTGTCATACCTTTCTGGAAGGAAATAGAGTACTACAAAGAATTTCAGAAAAAGCTAAGAGGCTATCTAGGCGATGACATAGCTAATCATCATTTGAGTGAATCACTGCACCTGATAAGCATAGGAACTAATGACTTCCTAGAGAACTACTACATTTTTCCAACCAGATCTTCAAAGTATTCTGTTGATGAGTATCAGAATTTTCTGATAAGAATCGCCAGCAATTTCATCAGAGAACTGTACAACCTGGGAGCTCGGAAGATAGCAATCGGTGGTCTTCCTCCGATGGGATGTTTACCCTTGGAAAGAACAACGAATATCTTCTTTGGAAGTGAATGTATCGGGGCGTATAACAATGTTGCTATAGATTTCAATAAAAAGTTGCAGGGTAGAGTCATGGGGCTGAAACAGGAGCTCAGAGGAGTCCAACTCGTGCAGACGAACGCCTATGATAAGCTCTTAGAAATGATCCAGAATCCAAGTCAATTTGGTAAGTTTCTTAGCCACAGATAACAATTCTTGAACTTTCTGCACAAAATGGGCCGTAGAACACATGGAAGGAAAGTATGAAAATAGCGAGCATGCCTACGGATAACATGAAACCAGACAGCAACTAGGAATTTTCAGGCTCCCTTTCGAACATTTTGGTCAAAACAGGCATACAAAAGGACTATGTGCAAGTATGCAATTACAGTTGAGAACAAATGAACAGTCATAACGCCATTTGAACAAGCCTTCTCAGGCCTACTGTATGTGCGTGTGTGCGTGTGTTTTTAAACCTGCACGCGTGTTTTAACATATTTTCTCTTACAAGGTAATTTTTCTGATGAAATTTTGTACCAATTTTTACAGGATTTGAAAATGCAGAAACAGCATGCTGTGGGACGGGATTGTTCGAGATGAGTTACCTGTGTGATAAAATGAACCCCTTTACATGTTCAGATGCCAATAAATATATATTCTGGGACTCCTTCCACCCAACAGAGAAAACAAATGCTATTTTGGCTGATCATGTGGTCAGAAATGCCCTAGCTGAGTTCCGATGATTACTGAAAGTAGAAGCAAGAAGCACTGCTTCCTTGTTGTCGACGACATTGTATTATTTCAGTTGTTATTATTGCCATTTCATGTGCATTCCATGTAGAAAAAATATATATATATATATAAAAGTAAAACAGACAAAAGCATATTAAACAAGTTATTTATCATTAAGAACCAGTTTAAGCTTTATACCAAAGTAAGATTATCCTAAGACCTCAATAGAAACGGATTGACATATCTTGAAAGGCATTCTGTTGTGATCTAAAAGGTTCAACAAGATGATAGAAATTATTGCAGCCAGAAGAGCAAAAAGTATGATTCAGAAATGGCTTCCACGAGATTTTTATTATCAAAATGGAAACCAGATACAGAAAGAAACAACATTAACAATAAAATTGTTGTTCATTGCAAACTAAGATCCTTCACAGAAAAGGTTTGGCAGAGGGAGGAAAAGCCTAAATTTGAATAACAAGTTTACTCCAAACTATCCAATATGCTGATATACAAAAATTCGTCAATTAAATTAACACAACATAAAGCCGCCAGATATCTTCGGGATACAGGTGAGGAAGACACTCTGCAGAGCCTAATCTCGAATCCTGTGGCTCACTTTGGCTCTTTGGGGAAATGGAGCTTGATAAGTGAAGGTAGCTCAGCCAGCTCAACTCGAGGCTTGCCCAATAAGATACTCCTCAACTTTTCATCACAATTGACAATATTCTTGTTGTTTGGATCCTAATCAAGAAAAACTGGCATCCTGAGAAATCTTCGAGTAAATGTGCACCAAGACTACACACTTCAAAATCAATCTATCAATATAGAAATGCAAGCAAAGAAAACAATCCAAATGACTTTTTTTCCAAAATTAGAGGTAATGTGAGATATTACATACTTTTGGAGCTCGGTGCAAAATTGCCAGCCACAATAAACATAAATAAGAAAGTCTTAATGAAAAATAAATTCAATCAATAACCTTTAGAGCAAGTCAAGGTCATCGTGACCACAATATCCCTCTTTATTAGCACAAAACTTTCTTCTTATCAAACAAATGATCTAAGACATGAAAAACATTCCTCAGTCGCATAATGGATACAAAATGTAGATAATGCAAAAGAGGAGAGATCATTGTCTCCATCAACATACATCTCCTCAAATGCCAGTAAAACATAATCATTCATAAAAAAAATGAGATCCAAAAGCCACATGTTCACATCAAAAACACCATATAAATGGTAAATATGCGTAAGACCAACTCTAATATCATAATTACAAATTTGAAGACCCTACCATGAATCAGTAAACCATGAAACTTATCCAATAATCTACATGCCACATCAGGAAGTGCAAATACCTTTTTTTTAAAAAAAAAAAAAGTCTCGGGGTAAGTAAAGCATCTCAGTAATTCACTTACAAACATTTGATTAAGAAAAATGAATCTTTTGCTGAATAGCAAGGTGCAAAATGAAGCAAGAGAGATAAGAATACCTGAAGATTGTTCTGTTTAATATAAGACCAAACACGCAGGAAGCAACCCAAACGTGAAATCTGAGACTGACCCACAAATTCTCTAACTGTGGAAGGAAGATTTACAAGGTCAATCAGGTTAGCAAGCTTCTTGGGGTTATCTGTAATTGCCTTCTTCAGTCTCTGGGGCAGCATTTTTTCAACTTTCTTCTCTGTTTTCCTCTGTATAAATCTAAAAACCATAAATCGAATAACCAACAGAAAATGAACTCAATTTTCAATACCCAATATCATTTAATGAAGATTTATATAATCAATTACCAAGAACAATAGCAAAAACACAAGTTCAGGGGAATTTTCTCAAACAGTTGGCACGTTCTTGTTTTTCAAGCTAAAATTTTTTTCGATTTCATTGGTAGTTTTCAATTACTGAAAACTAACAGAGTTGAATTACAAGGGAGCTCGTTTACCTGGAGAGAGATGGGGATGGCGGGAAAGTTCAGGGACAAAATGGTAAATAGAAGCAACTCTGGGTACCGAACTCGTACCGGTTGAGGGAGGAACAGAGTGGGGAGAGAATTTGACTAAGACGGAGCTAATGAGGGGCCGCTCCATTCAAAACGGCAAGGGAATAGGAGTGAAACGACGATGGAAATAGAAAATTGCTTAACATTTGTAATCCTAATTTGTCTTCCATTTGTTTAAATTTAGAAAAGAATCCGACGATCTTTAATTACAATCAAAACTAATTAAAAGTCATGTAAATAATAGATCAATTGATTTATTTGGTCAGTTTTGGATTTTAAAAATATTTTAAAATCGAACCGATCAAAACATTAAATTTATATTATATATATTTTAATATATATAATATTATATATTATTTTTAAATTTATATAAAATATATATTTTAATTATTAATTTTTATTTCATGTTTTATAATTATTACTGAAGTTTATAAATTTTAATATTATAATTTGTAAAAAAAATGATAAAATTTTGAATTTTTTATTTAAAATTGAACCATTTCTATATTTGATCTATTTATTTTTTTTATATTTAATCGGTTTTAATTAACTTTTTAAAAATATTTAATTTATTTGATCTTTAGATGTAACAGGCCGAACTTACATTATCGACCAATTACTTACCTCTGATTATCATTGAGATTAATGATCATTCTAAAGTAATACTCTAACAATTGGTTTTAAGTAATTTTCCAGACAGTTTGGATAGGATCATGTAGGGTACAGGGTGACAATAACTATAGATTCCGACGTTGATTCCTAGGAACCAATGTCATAAAATATTACATATCTGAACAGTTGAGGAAATTCCATTACAGGTTTCATTGAAACTTCATGCTCTGAAAATTGATTAATGAAAGAAAATTCATCTACCTATAAAGAGGATCAGCAGGGTCATTGGCTGCAATGTAAACCAATCAAAACCTCTTTCTCTACATGGGTTCTAGGCTTTCCTGTCTGAGAAGAAAACATGGCAGCATGCAAGAGAGCAGAGGCATCATCTTCATCATCAGGTCGGGCAAAGGGAAGAAATCTCTGCCAGAGAGTGATGTTATTACCCCGACAGGGATTGCAGAAGAAGAAACCCAAGCTAGGTATGCAAGGAAGGCTTTGCTTTGCCTCAGGAATCTGATAGAGAGGTCTGCTTGTAAGCTGAAGAGAAACTTTCTAGCAAACCCTAGCAGCAGCAGCAGTAAGAAGAAGAAGAAGTCTGATCTAAAAAGGGCATGTTGTGCTTGTATTTCTTCAGAGAAGAGGACTCCATTGACAAATGGTTTGTTCAAAGTGAAATCGTTCTTGTTGAAGGGAGGAGGAGATGGTGGAAGCGAAGGCAACAATGGTGGTAAGAAGGGAAAGGGAGCTAATGATCAAAAGAAACAGAAGTAGATAGAGAATTAAGCAGCAATGATTCCAAATCGAATAAACATTTCTCGATTCAAAAATTCAAGAAATTACAATCATGTTATGTTCTAATATATCATGATAGATACTCAAAAGTACAATACTAGAATATATATATTTAAGCACCACGAGCCAACATCTCCCAGAATTCCTCCTCGGACTTCTGCTTTTCAAGCCTCCAGGCTTCCTTGCGCCTGTTGATGAACTCCTCAGCCCTTGCATCCACTCCTAACAATGGCAGCTGAGACAATGTAAAGCAGTCAGAAGTGGTCTCCATCATCCCGCTTTCCAACCCTTCTTCTTCTTCTTCTTCTTCTTCTTCATCATCATCAAAATGATCAATCAACTCAACCTCGGGCATGCTGTTTCTGGTCTCCTCCAGCAGTTTCTGGTTAAGGATAGGCAGCCGAGGATGGTGGTGGTGACGGCGGTGATGGTGATGATGAAAGGAAGAAAAAAGAATGGCTGTCACAAGCCTACGACTGGCTTTGCTCAAGGTTGATGCCAAACGCTTCCACAGCTTCTTCTTCTTCTTCATGTCATTGACAATGGAATACATGGCTTCTACAGGGGTCTTGCAATGGAAATCTAGCAATGGTTCTTGGTTTCGAAATGCGTCCGAACCTTACATTTTAACATGTTCATTTTCTCTGTGCGATAAAAGGGAACATCTAGGAAGATCATTTTCCTCTCTACTTTTTCTCTTGGGGTAGAAATTTTCTGCCATGAATATTGGAAACTTCCTATTTTACTAACTTAAATCTCATTCATTTTTTAATTTTCTGATACCCAAAATCCTTGCCATTTTTACACTCAAATATCGAGAATATACGGAATATCGATAGATAGGGTATTCATTATTTTTGAAGTATTCAAACCGGAACTCTATTACTTGATACAGTAACTCAACCCTATGTATACTTGATTAAATTTTTAATTGTTTTCCAAACCCGTATCTGAATATCGTAAATACTATCTATTCTATACCCGAAATCGTGATGATTAGTAAATTTACTACTTAAAAGTTATCTTAATATTACTTAATCGGATTAAGATATATTGGATATTTGATTACAAAGTATCCGTAGACACACTAAGAGAAATTTGATCTTCAACTATATTGTTTTTCAATAATGCTGTTAAAAATCCTTAAATTTCTTATAGCATTTTGAATAAAACATTTTCGTAGATATTGCATACATTAACAACAATTACATTTTATTTATTAGGATTAAAGTTGACGAAAAGTATTAACTAAAAATTTATTTTAGGGAACATAATCTTTTATTTAATACACTGTTTTAACACATTTAAGAAAATCAAATCATTAAACCTAGAAATCTTTCTAAATAGAATCTTTTAAATGTGAAGTTAATTTTCGATTTAGTGAGAGACAAATTGTTTCCATTTACTCAATTGATTTGATATTCCAGTAGTAATTGATTTCTCTTCCTTGCATCACAAGAAGGAAAATGGAATACCTGTTGGAGAAAGAAAAATATGCCGAACTTCACAAAATTTTGGTTGGAGAAGAAGAAACTATAGAAAAATCGGATTGATATAACCATGGTATCGTCTAAATCCAAATGAACTCTCCGGTAAACATGGAAGAACTACTCTAGGAGCTACTACAAATGATCTACAAACAAGTGTGACACAATATCGTTCAAGTAGAATTCAGATTTTGGTTTGATTGAATTGAGTACCTCTCTACAAACCAGTTTTATGATCATCATGTTCTATACACTTACGCATTTTAGTCTCCGGCCGTTAATCGTAAGGATTCCTGAATGTCTTCAATAGCTCTGGGATGTCATAACCCAGCATGTCATCAACAGCTTGAATCATTTTAGGCTTTAGCTTTTCGAATTTGTCGAAGTTGTAACCACTCAAAACCTCCCTAAAATGTTCTACATTTGGAAAGTCCCCTGGAGGTAGGTGATGATCTCTTTGAACCTGTATAACAAATAGGTAAACATGGTAAAAGAATAGTGTTCAATAAGCACGGATGCATGTGTACACACAAAGAGAAGAGAGAGAGAGAGAAAGAGAGAAAGGATACTTTTCCAAATTCATCGGCCAAATTATCGATTAGTCTCTGTTGAGTCTTCGCTTTTCCCATCATAGTAGGCATTTCCTTTCTAAGATGACCGATAATATGAGCATGTATCTTGGCAGCTCTAGCACGTTTCACAAACTCATTTATCTGCAGGTAAACAGTGGATTAAGACTTCTCTTCAACTCACGTCTTCAAAAAGAAAGACAGGTTTTATATGTCCTTAGTACATTAATACCTATTCCTGTTAAGGAATACGTGTGTACTAAGCTGCAGAGACCTTTTTACGTCTCACATATAAGAATTCTTTTTATTTTTCTAAGGAAGAATAGTAAAATGAACTTACTCGACGATCACAAGCCTTTTTTGGAATATCTTTCAAGTCAGCAAGAAGGTCTTCTTGTTCTTTTTCGAACAGCTCTTTCCCAATTGGACCTCTGGCAGCTTCGTTTACAGGTTTGTCATTGAACGAACTGCCGAAGACAAGATATTAACATCAAAATTTAAGAACAAGATGCAGCTTAGTTTGATGTACTCATTCAGAAAATTACGGAACAGAATTACATTTTATGCAGCAAGTATAAAACAATATTCAAATAATATGCACCAAGAAACGTTGGGACAAATTCATTTAATTCTTTAAGGTTGACAAAGAGAAAGAGCCTACCCAATATATACGCGCACAACCTCAGGGGTATTAAGGACTTTCCCAAGTGACCACATTAAGGCTCCATAAACCCTCATCAACTACAATTAAAGGAATAGATAAGCAAATTATCAAATGTTTCATCTACGAAAGACTGGTAGTTAAGAAACATGGCCGCCATAATGCTTACTTGTTGAGTATCAACTTGGTCTGCCTTGTTCAAAACCACACGAATCTTGTCATCGTGACCACGCAAAGAATAAATTACACGCTTGAACTCATCGCTTACATCTAGCTTGTGAGGATCAAACAAAAGAAGAATAAGATCACATTTTGCAGCAAACCATGATGTTACACCTGTAAAATCATAGGCTCGTTGTGTTCGTTGTTTTTCTCCGGATAACACTCCAGGAGTATCTACAAATGTTATGTGCTCCAACAGCTAGAGCATGAAAAGAATAAATTAGATTCCATACAAGCAAAACCTTCAAACTAATGATCACAGCAAATTAGAATTTGAACAATTATCTCACAGGATGTGGCATTTGAGAACACTCAAACTTTGACAAAAATGCAGTTCCAAAGGTAGTGAGACCACTGAATGGCATGTCCGCTTGGACAGCAATAGTGTTCCCTGGAACACTTCTTTCATCGGTTCCCGACTGCATAAAGGAAAGAGAATACAAGATGCATGAGATCAAAACAAATTAAATCCCATGATTACAACTAACATCAAATGATTCTTTACAAGCAGAGGTGTATAGACAAATTAACAGAAAATTAAGATTCGATTTCCATCATTGATGTTAAATCCACTAAGTGATGGAAAGCTATTCATATGCACTACATCAATGACATTATCACAGAACACAAATTCTAAAGTACCATAACAACAACAAATCTGTCAGTTGTTGGTTCAGGTCCAATGTGAGCTCCTGAAAATGATGATTAAAAATAATAATAAGTAAAAAGGGACTAAAACCTTCTAAGTCAATAGGTTTGGTGGGGGGAGGGAGGAGAGAAAGAGAGAATCACTTGCCTGGATAACTACTTTTAAGCAAATGTTTAATGAAGGTTGTTTTCCCAGTTGAATATTGACCCAAAAGCATAACCATTGGTTTGGCATCAAAATCACTATTTGTCTGCAATAAACAAAAATCAATATCAGCTGATTAGCTTGTTAAATACAAATTTAGCACATATCACTAATAATTAAAACTGAATTCAGAGAAATTAAAAATCTACACTCACTCACTCACCAACAATGGGGATACAAAATCATTAAAACGATATGTAACTTCTAAAGGCTTCAACTTTTGAATGTACAGTCTCTTTAAGCCATCTATGATTGAAGTCACAGAGGACATAGATATCTGTTATACACAGAAAAAGATTATTTAACCATTCTAAGGATGCAGATAAATAAAAAACATTATCAATTAAAGGAATTGGACACATATTAGCATCATTAAAGCCACAAAATACCAATAAATTCACAAGTCTTCTTGTTCTGGAAGAGAAATGAAAGAGCCAAATATGCATTTGATATAAATAAAGAAATTATTTATAGCACTACACCAGGATGACAAAAAAAGGTTGGAAGGGGGGAACAAGCGCACTAGGAACAAAGAAGCTAAATTACACAATGACAACACAAACCTTCTTTGATGATTTTGAAGAAAACCATTGAGCAGCAGGTGATGATTGCATTGGAGAACTACCTGCACTGCCCCCAACTAACTAGTGAGTATATGGTATAAAATCAGAGTAATAACCATAAGCAGTTACAATGAGAAATTCATACCATTGGCATTGCTATCAGGACTAGTTGACTTTGAAGAGTGTTTCTTCTTCTGAATAAATCAAGCAATATAGTTACAATTTTCATGATGTTAAGCATATGAAGCATAAAAATTAAGAGAGTAAAAGAAGCCATCATACCATGATTAATGCATCCAAACCTTCCATTACAGGAGGTTTGGCATTCTCAAAGTCAACTGCAATACATCAGCATATCTTAACATTAGTTTCTAGTTGACGATAAAAGATTGTAAATTTAGAGGGAAAACAACCATAAAACAGTCTCCTAAATAAACATTCAAAGCGTGCAATGAAGAAATAAAACCAAGCTAAATCATCATACCATCACCATTTAGGATATCATGTGATATTTCATGACCATCTTGTGCCAGAGAAACCAGCTAAACATGAAAACTAACAGCAGGTCAGATTTGAAGAAAACCAATTAACAATAAACAGAGTACAAGAAGAGCACAACTTCAAACCTGCATAGCAAAGACAAATTCTTTGAAACCAAGATATCCCTGTCTCTTAGAATCCGCAGTAGCCCACACCTTTGAGGAATCAAAACCCAAAAAAGACAAACCATTCAACACAAAAACCGATAACAGAAGCGAAATCACTAAGAGAAAGACGGAAATGAGCATAGCAACAGCAACGAAACTCTAAATCCATGACATGAAGACTCGTTATATTAATGGAAAATCTAACTTTATTGATTTAATTTTGAAAACAAAAATAAAATTATCAATTATTTACTCCTCGAGTTGAAGCCTAGCAGCAAGCATGATCAGTTAAAAAATTCCACTTTTTCTACTTGATTCAAATTCAATCGCACTAAGCATCCACATTTCCCTACAAGTTTTAATAATTAAGCAGAAATTAAATAAATAAATAAATAACAAAATTGAAATGAAGAAAATAAAAGGAGATTAACCTGTTTAAGATATTGTCGCGATAAATTTGACATACCGAAAAACTTTATTGCATCAATTCCGGTGATGCGGCCATCATTATCTACCAAACAAAATTCAAACAAATTAAATAAAACAAACAAAAGCGATTAAATTTTTTAAAAAAAAATTAAAAAAATGAAAAACGTACCTGAATCAGCAAAGCTAAACCACTCTTGATAAATCAGCTGGTGATCTTTAGAGCATGAACCGATCCGACCGGCTCCGATCTCCATTGCTGAAGAGAAAACTATCAATCTCGTCGGCTTTTGTTAATCTTCACTGTAAAACTTTTCCGAGAAAAGGAAAAAAAAAAGACCGTTTCCCACACAGTGAAAAAGAAAACGCGAGAAAATAATCGGAAAAAGAAAACACTGTCGTGTCCTGTGCGCGTGTTTTTCTTCGGGAAAGGGAGTCCTTAACACCGACGAAAAAGGGCAGTCAACTACGTCGTCGTTTCAGCTTCGACTTTTCAGTTTTAACGGTGAGGTTTTTTAACGGCTTTTTGAAAGTCTCGCGAAAACGACGACGTCGTGCTGTTTTTAAATACCGCTTCCCTTAGTGGCGCGCGCCAAGGTTAAAAGGAAGAGTTAAAATGCGAAAAGAAGAAGGGTAAATCCCTAATTACAAGAGGTAAATAGTAAAAAATATTGATCAACTATAGATGAAAATTATGGTAGTAACTGTGATTTGGATATATTAATTTTCTTTCTTTTTTGTTCTTAATGGTGTGAAATGGATGGTGGGATATTGATGGGACTTTTTTTATTTCATTTTTGAGTTAATATTTTGGTTATTTTGTATTTAATTTGAATTTATAGTTGTTGTCAAATTGTCAAATTTGAAATAACAATGTCATAGGTTTTGAGACGGTCATATTGAAAATATTAACTAACTTTTTATGTCTATGTGATATATGACTTAATAAGTAAACATGATCACACAGTAATTGATATAATCATGTAATAACGGACTTGATTATATTAAATTTTTTTTGTTAATATTAGGTTTGAGGGTGATTAAGTTTCTATCCAATTATAGCTCGGTCCAATGAATTTACTCAAATCTAGTAGGTTTGGAGACTTGCTAGCAATTTGACAAAGCAAGTTGGCCATGGCTAAATTGGGTAGGCAAATTCAGGGACAATGACAAAATCTTGATAGAAGTGCTTTATTAACCCTCATTTTGATAGACTTAGTAGGAAAATAAAGGCGTACCCACCCACTTGTATGTCTGTTCATTCTCCACTTTGTATATCAGATAATGAACTCTCTCATTCTGTCTCCTAAGCTGTGAAACACTTTACATTGGTTTTCCTTTTTTTTTTGTTCCAAAGAAAATCAGAGCAAGAGATGGTTTAGAACTCCATAATTGGCGCAGGCTCTGCCACTTTTGAAGGTAA